ATGTTTATTGCTTTAGGAATTATCATGCTTTAAATCAAGGCAAATGCTAATAAGGAGTGTCCCTTGGACATTAATGGGGTAATATCACATAAGTGAACATTTAAAAAAATATTTTCCAATTACAAAATCCGTGTGAGATGAGGCGACGGATACAGGAGCATCTCTAACCAAAATGTTTATTTTTCGAGATCAATGATTTTTGTCTAATAAATGTTTAGTTTACAGTGTTCGACCTTTCACTTATTTTTAAAACTCTTTTTATCTCTGTCCTGATACTAATTAACATCGGGAAATTTACATGTCGGTGGGAACTTAAAAAATTAATTATAAATTCATGAAAAAATTTAAAATTTTACTTTTTAATATTTATAAAGTTTTTTTACATCTCCCGTCTCGTTCTACTTGACCCTCACCCCGATAATATTTATTAAATATATTTATATCATATATAATTTATTTATTTTCATTATAAAAAATTAAAACACTAAAAAATTATACTTAATTTTAATTTTTACTCATTTATTTTTTTATCTTATAACTTATAATTCTCATTAAGTATAAATCGTAATTTGTAATATACTATATTATCTATAATTTTTATTAACATTCTCATTATTCAACTTATAAAATTAACATGTCTCCTGTCCCGCTTTGCCTGTCACAGTCACTGCCACTCCTCAATTTGCTCTACCTCGATATGATACAAGACGGAGGCAAAATACTATAAATCCAACCCTTGACCATCTTGATTTTGGTACTAACCAATAATTTTGTCCCTTAAAAAGCTTATGTATTGAATCATACCAATATGTAACTTGAAATACGAAACCAATATTGCCTCGGGTAGTGTCCCTTGTAATTAGGTCTGTGCAAAATATCGCCCAATCCGTTAAAATCGCATCGATCCGCATCAATCCGCACCGCTCTAACCGCTAACCGCGGTTTAAACTTTAAAATTTATAATCCGCCAACCGAACCGCTCCGCTCCGCTATAGTTAATACATATATATTTTTTAACCTCCAATGAAATATCAATGTAAAAATGAGTGTGTGAGATATTTAAAATATGAAATTTATTACAAATTAGTAGTTATATATATGAAACATATTATGTAAAATTACTTTGTGTTGTATATCTAAAAAATATTATACAAATTAGTGTTATATATTATGCAAATGTATGATAATTAGTTAGAATATTCTTCAATCCGCCAATCCGCCCAAACTGCATTTTGTCAATCCGTTAATCCGCCAACCCACCATTCAATTTGTAATTTTACTCTCAAACTGTCCGAATCGCACACGCATACACCCCTACTTGTAATATGTATCCTTCCCAATTTTTTAACAAAAGTAGTAAAGGAAATCACAAATAAATGGGGCAGCAGGAAAAATATTTATTTTCATGAGGTGTAAGTCTCTTGTATATGATATTAGGTTTTTTTTTTTTTTTTCCTTTGTTTTTTGTATATGGTGTAAGTTGCCTATATGTAAAATGGAAAAAAAGAAATTAAAACGACAAAAAAGTAAAATGTTGCTGCCCAGGATCGAACTGGGGACCTTTAGTGTGTAAGACTAACGTGATAACCACTACACCACAGCAACATTTGTGGTATTGTTCTTTTCAAATTATATATCACCTAATTATTAGGGGGGCAACTAATCAATGGTATTAGCTCCTAATTTTATGTGAACAACTAATGTACTTGATAGGACATTGGATGATCAGCTTTGATACAATCTTTGATATACATATATATATATATATATATAGAGAGAGAGGGAAGAGGGGGGGGGCGCGGGAGAAACTTGAACCAAAATCTTCCCATCTCACCTTATTTGTATATAAATTTCTATTTTTTAAGCATATTATAACTAAAACCAAGAGGTATTTTAAGAATAAGTTTAAGAATATAAAAATTCATAAAAATATATATAAGATTTTTTAGTTCCAGGTTTTATCGAGAAATTTTGTAAAATTTTATCCCTTCATAAGAATTATGTATTTTGTCTATTTTTTATTTCTATCTTTTGAGTAGAATGTTAAATAACAAATGCAACATGTATGATCTATGGCTTGGTTTGGGGAGTGGATTAGCTTTTTGATTTTTTTAGTTATTTTAGCATGGGATTAGAAAGTCTGATTTGAAAAGGACTTTTGGCTCTTTTGATTTTTTGTAAAAGAAAGAATGTAATCGTCTATTTTGTTTTTTGTGACTATTTTAACCAAAAATCTTCAAACCCGACTTCCCAAACATAGGCATAATTCTTGGACCAAATAAATAGGGATGTGGCCAATCAAGCAAATGGCACTAGTAGGAATCAAACGACGTGAGCTTCAATTTGGTGAGTTGATGTAAAGTGTCGTTCTAATTAGGATCCTTCGACATGCCATGGACTCTAACGTCGTGTTTGGCTGAAGGATTGGAGGAGGGATTTAGAAAGGAAAAGAAAAAAATTAGGTGAAATATGCATAAAATATACCTACATTTCACCAAGTTTCACACATCTTTTCCATTTCTCGTTCCAAATCCCTCTCTAAATTCCTCAGCCAAACACAGCATAAGTAAATTTTATGAGATTTTATCATTTTTTAAAAGATTTGTGACTTCAATTACTCTTAGTGTAAAAGTGAAAATTTGATTCTGTCAAATCCACCATTATCATAGCAGAATATTAGTAGTTTCTATAAATATTTTCATTTTTGATAATTTTTATTATATTCCCTTATTTATGTTGCTTGTTATGAGGAATTTCTGATTTCTGGTTGTTTCCTTTTATGTTAGATTTACTTTTACTACTAAATAATCATTGGAACCCTTACAACTGAATAGTTTTAAAGAATTAAATAATTTCAAATTTTTATTTTTTTTAACTTTGAATATTCGTTTCAAATAAACTATTATTGAGCATTTTCTCAATATTTCTTGTGAATCAATATAAACTTAAACAGTATCTTGATTCTAATATTCATCTTTGAACTATCTCACCTTCTTGGAAATAAAAACAAGAAAATGTACCACCCCAATGGACAAAAACAAACAAAGACCACAATTTCTTGGAAATTTCCCACCTTTCACCTCATGCACCCAATCATTCTCCTTTTGACCCCTCAACTTATTTGGCTCCAAAATTATCATATAATAACTGTTGGAGACAAGTTGGAAAAAAAGAAAACAACAACTTAACTACTAATTATATATACTGCTTAAGAAATCAAACTTATAAATTATCATCTTTTTCATAGTTGATCAATGTAGCAAGTTCATTTGTACCATGGACTCACTTTAAAACCTTAAGAGTTAATAACTGTTACATTTTTATGTGTTGTATGTTTAATAGCTAAGTGACTGAGAGCTACCAAATTTGTCTATAAATTTTTATTTTTTAAGCATATTATAACTAAAACCAAGAGGTATTTTAAGAATAAGTTTAAGAATATAAAAATTCATAAAAATATATATAAGATTTTTTAGTTCCAGGTTTTATCGAGAAATTTTGTAAAATTTTATCCCTTCATAAGAATTATGTATTTTGTCTATTTTTTATTTCTATCTTTTGAGTAGAATGTTAAATAACAAATGCAACATGTATGATCTATGGCTTGGTTTGGGGAGTGGATTAACTTTTTGACTTTTTTAGTTATTTTAGCGTGGGACTAAAAAGCCTGATTTGAAAAGGACTTTTGGCTCTTTTGACTTTTTTGAGAGAGAAAGAATGTAATGATTATAGGTTGAATGTAATATTTTGTCTTATTAGGCTAAAAAGTCTATTTTGTTTTTTGTGACTATTTTAACCAAAAATCTTCAAACCCGACTTCCCAAACATAGGCATAATTCTTGGACCAAATAAGGCCCCGTTTGGGGACTTATCTTTTTAGTCAATTAGTCAAAAAGTTACTAAATTAGCCAAAAAGCCAACAACTCATACCAAAAAGTCAAAGATTCTCTTTTCTCTCTACTTTTTGCACATATTTTCGTAATTAGTCAAAAATTCATCCTAAACATACAAGTTTTTTTTACCTATCTTTTTAACCAAATAGCTAAAAAGTTATTAAATTAGCCTGTTCCCAAACGAGGCCTAAATAGGGATGTGGCCAATCAAGCAAATGGCACTAGTAGGAATCAAACGACGTGAGCTTCAATTTGGTGAGTTGATGTAAAGTGTCGTTCTAATTAGGATCCTTCGATATGCCATGGACTCTAACGTTGTGTTTGGCTAGAGGATTTGAGGAGGGATTTAGAAAGGGAAAGGGAAAAGTTAGGTGAAATGTGAATAAAATATACCTACATTTCACCTAGTTTCACATATCTTTTCCATTTCTCTTTCCAAATCCCTCTTTAAATCCCTCAACCAAACACAGTATAAGCAAATTTTGGAAAAATTTCATCTTTTAGGCTGTCACTTATGAGATTTTATCATTTTTTAAAAGATTTGCGACTTCAATTACTCTTCGTGTAAAAGTGAAAATTTGATTCCGTCAAATCCACCGTTATCATAGTAGAATATTAGTAGTTTCTATAAATATTTTCATTTTTAATAATTTTTATTATATTCCCTTATTTATGTTGCTTGTTATGAGGAATTTCTGATTCTGGTTGTTTCCTCTTATGTTAGATTTACTTTTACTACTAAATAATCATTGGAACCCTTACAACTGAATAGTTTTAAAGAATTAAATAATTTCGAATTTTTATTTTTTCTAACTTTGAATATTCGTTTCAAATAAACTATTATTGAGCATTTTCTCAATATTTCTTGTGAATCAATATAAACTTAAACAGTATCTTGATTCTAATATTCATCTTTGAACTATCTCACCTTCTTGGAAATAAAAACAAGAAAATGTACCACCCCCATGGACAAAAACAAACAAAGACCACAATTTCTTGGAAATTTCCCACCTTTCACCTCATGCACCCAATCATTCTCCTTTTGACCCTCAACTTATTTGGCTCCAAAATTATCATATAATAACTGTTGGTGACAAGTTGGAAAAAAAAACAACTTAACTACTAATTATATATACTGCTTAAGAAATCGAACTTATAAATTATCATCTTTTTCATAGTTGATCAATGTACCAAGTTCATTTGTACCATGGACTTACTTTAAAACCTTAAGAGTTAATAACTGTTGCATTTTTATGTGTTGTATGTTTAATAGCTAAGTGACTGAGAGCTTGATCGTTTGGGTTGTCAACAATGGCAAGAACTGTGAAGAGTTGCCTGCAATTATCACTGAAACTTGTGAACTCAACTATGGGAATTCTAGGGATTGCGACAATTCTGTATAGTATGTGGATGGTTAGAGCTTGGCAGCTTGACATGGAAGGTTCAACTTCTCAATCTCACAACTTTTATCTTCCATGGTAAGCTCTTTTATTATTATGCAGAAACGAGAAGTTCCTCTGCTCTTTTTTCTTTTCTTTTCTTTTTTTTTACAGTCATTATGAAAAATGTTTTATAGAAAATATTTTGTGTTTGAAAACAATTGCTTGTGGTTGTGGCGGTGGCATCGTCAGTAACACTGTGTTTGATTAGGAAATTTGAGAAGAGATTTGAAAAAATAAAATAAAAAAATGTGTGAAACTAGCTAAAATATAAATATATTTTATTCATATTTCACATACCTTTTTCCTTTCCGTTTCCCTTTCCGTATTCCTTTCCAAATTCTCAACCAAACACAGCATAAGAGTTTAATTCAAAAAATATTTTTTGTCTTTTGACATTGAAAAATATTTTTGCGTTCACTTTATTTTTCATCTTATGAAACGCTGAAAAATGCAAAAAAATAATTTTTAGAGAATATTTTTTTGCCAAAACAAACCATCTCATTTTTCTTTTGTTTGGTGTGAGGAATTACTACTACTTGGACAGTTCACTTGTGAAAATTATTAAATTTATTTGATGAGTGGTTTGTTTGTACTCGTAAAAATTGCAGGTTTATTCATGCATTTGCTGGAATTGGAGTCACCTTGTGTGCCATAACATGCCTTGGTCATATTGCTGCTGATACTTGTAATATTCATTGCCTTTCATGTGTATCCTTCTCTCTCTCTCTCTCTCTCTCTCTCTCTCCCTCCTTTGATACTTGGGGAGTCTTCTTAGGCTTGAGAATAGGTTTGAAGTTGAAGATATCACATGTTATAGCATCAATAATGTATGTGCATAGAAAATTTAATATGTGAAATAACCCTAGAAACATAGAAAAATGATCACAGAATTAAATACAATATTTATGGATCGACAATCTTTTTAAGTGGGTCTCAGAAACAAAATCTTATCCATTTTTATGTGTTTGTGTTCTGTGTTCATTTTGTATTTAGTGTAGAAAATTCAATGTACAACCTATATTCATTCTGGGTGCGATGAAGATAACGCTCAAAATAAATCCGAATCAAACATTAATTTTATTTATTTTTTAAATACTTTTCTATGCACCTAACTAACACTACTCTATATGCATTAGTGTATTCATGCATTGAATATGTTTGACCTTCATCTAACAAAGTATATGGTTGAGATCTTTTTCCTTCTCCTGGTGGAGACTGCATTGGCAGTAGACATATCCCTAAATTCTGATTGGGAGAAGGTAATGTGTTCATTTGGTTGTATTTTTTGTTTTTATTTTTATTTTATTATTTTCAAATATAAAAACGATGAAAAGCAACCGGTGTTTTTATTATTTATGCGAATTAAAAACAAGTTTTAGATATTTCTTAAAAAAAAGATTGTGTTATTTTCAAAACAAATTTCTGAAATAATTTTCAAAAACAGTTGGCTGATGACTTCTCTATTTCTCTTCCCATAATTCTGTCCTCACTTGCTGTGATTTTTGAACATCAGGACTTGCCTGAAGATCCAAGTGGGAGGTTTGATGATTTCAAGGATTTTGTGAAGTCAAATTTCCACATTTGCAAATGGATTGCGTTGTTCATTGTCTTTGCACAGGTTACCTTCATTATTATTTATTTTTGTTTTCAAAAACAGAAAAAAACAAAATATTTTGAAAACAATACCAAACAGTGTTTTCCCATCTGCAGGGATGTTCAATCGGATTGGCCGCGGTTTTAAGAAGTCATGAGAAAGATGAGAGAAGAAAGTATGAGAGTGAAGATGATTATGCACAAGCCAGGCTTCCATTTCTAGGGTACCCTGTGCAGCCTCTTCCTTATACCGCTGCAGACTTGCCCTTTGACTCCAACAAGAATGAGACATGGAAGTTCTTAACTTCACCCAAGTAATTCAATGTCCTCAACTTCCCTACCATATCTCTCTTTTCCATTTTTTCAGTTGAACAAGTGAATCAAATTGCAGCTATTGTTTTCCATCAGCTTCTACAAAAATGGATTGCTTTATTTGATTTTTCACAAACTGTTTTTATTTTTATTTTTTAGATGAACTCAATCCTAACGAAGTAGTTACTCTAGAATCCAATGAACTATGATTACTTAAGATCAGCTTGGCACGTTGTGCGCCTAAGCGAAAAAAGAAAGTGCTAGCTTTGTTATGCCAAAACCTAAATATTAAGTCAACAACACTTATCAATGCCAATTCCGTTGCATCCGTCTTCAGGAAGATCTAGTTATAGGTGTAACTCATTCAAGGGGGCTTGTGCATCTTAAAAAAAAGACGAATAAAATTTTAAATTTTTTTTACTATAGACAAAAAAAAACATTAAAAAAAACAAAAAACGAAGAAGTCAGAAAACGGTTTTTAAAAACCAAACCAAACAAATTGGAAAAACTTGAGATCAATTGTACCGATTCTTGTAACTTTTGAACTCATAAAATTGAGTCATCATAAGAACAAAAAACGGAACAACCCAAACCAGTCATGGTTAAGCAGGCTATGTGTTCATGCTTGGCAGCCTAAACTGTTTGAACAAACACTCATATGAGCAGTGCATGTTGAAAATTTCCCTAGAATTTTATTCATTATATATACAGAAATTATCTACATCGAAACATATTAGGAGGGTTTGAGAGAGAATTTTAGATTCTTACCCAAAAAAACCAACGGTCCACTAGGAAGTCGAAAAACCAAAGAGAACATGCTCACAGAAGCTATGTCTAATGTCACATGTATTCGTGTGTGTGTGAAGTTTCCCCTTCTCTAAAATGCTTGATTGGTCTGCTCAACAAACATACAAAGTGCAGAGAGAGAGAGATAGAGAGAGAACAAACATGTTTATGAACCGTATATGTCACAGCAACACACATGAACACTTCTTGCAACACAGATCAACACAACAAAAATTTCTTTTAAAAATTGGTAAACAATGAATTAATCCCTCACTTGTCAATCTAAAACTATAATCTATAATACCGATCTCCCTCAAAACTGCTACAAACAATAGAGTTCAGAAATAAAAAATGGTAGCAAGTAGTAGGGGTGCAACTTGGGCGGGCTCAACCCGAACAACCCGAGCCCAGCCCGAATTTTTTTAGGACTTGAACAAAATATTTTCAAATTCGGTACCGGCTTAGGCAAAAATTCAGAAGCCCGAATTAAATTTAAACGGGTTTGGGCAAAGACGTCAAACAACCCGAGCAACCCGAAACCCGAATTATATATATATAGATATATAAAAATATTAAATATACATATAAATTATTAGCAATTACATGATATTAAAATAATTTATATTATTAAATCATATTGAATATATATTATATATACAAATAACATAAAATCTTACTTTTTTTTTTCTTTTTTTTTCTCTTTTTCTCTCTCTCTCTCAGGCAAAGGACAACCTCCCAACCCGACCGAACCCGCCCGAGTTGCACCCCTAGCAAGTAGTATCTCACAAAGCATTTATTCAGATTTCCTAGTGGCCTTGGTTGATAGCGCTCTCTTCATCCGGCTAAAGGGTCCAACTGATCGATCCATAATGTACATGTAAATTACCTGGCTCCAAGATTTATACGAATCCATACCCTCATAATATTCCGGAGCGATCTCCTTCACCTTGTGAAGCTTGCTCCCTGCAATTCTGGGGAAATCATGGTGTTCATTGTGGTAACCTACGCTCCATGTCATAAGATTCAAGGGACCGTAGTATGAATAGGTCTCTTGATCCTTGTTAAACACATAATGCTCGGAAATAAAATGACCGGCCATTGGGTGCATCCCACCGCCAAGGAATGTGGAAAGGATCAAATAAGCAAGAGATTTCCAACCCCAAAAGTAAACCATGGAAGCATCAAGGGCTAGTTGGATAATCAAATTGATGAATTCCCACAAACCCGGGGGTTTTGGTTTGAGGAAAAGAGGCCGGAGAGCATAGAAAAAGAGTTGGAGAACAACCCAAATCGATTTTGCAACAACATTTGTCACAAGATGGGCTTCGGTGAGGCTGGGAATGTCCATGTCTATGCCATCGACTCCTTGGAAGCGATGGTGCTCAAGGTGGTATTTTTGGAAGGTGACTGACATGGGCACACCGATTGGGAGGTTGGCGAAAATCCCAAGCCAGCGGTTGTAGACGGGAGTAGAGAAGGCAAGATTGTGACTGAGCTCATGAATGGCTAAGAAGAGGTTGTGGTTGAGAAAAGAGCCGAAAAAGTAGGCCATCATCAATATCTTCAACCACCCTGCATTGTCGAGGTAAGTAGCGGTCCATAGCTGAAGTAAAACAGCCATAGTAATCTGCAATACCACAATTTTGACAACTTCAAATCAAACCTAATTGACATAGATGTTAGTTTGAAGAATAATTGTACACATCAATCAAATGTAATTGACACATGTTAAATTTAAAATATGTTAATTTGAAGAATAATTGTATAGATATAATTAGAACACAGAGAGTTCTGCTTAATTAATTAAATGATGAGTTTTCCAAGCAACAAGTAAAGATGTCTTTCCATGAATTCTAACATGGACAAGATGAATTCTAACAGAAATTGATTTCTTGAAAAACAATTCCAGTTGTGTGGTTTTTACATAAATCTGTTGGCTTTTTACTTTTCCACAGGTGTGAAGCAGAACGGATCTTTGATCAAACTACTTATGTGAATCAATCATCTTCTGAAAACCCAGCACCATATCTGGTTGTAAATTCCATACCATTATGATTAGCACATTATCATCATCGGTAATTACATTGATGTTGAAAAATCACATTATCATCATCAGTAATTACATCGGCAAATACATCTTTTTGATGTTGAAGAATCACAAAACTTGATAAGTATTTTTCCAGCAATAGGGATGCAACCAATTTGATGCAGGTCTCACATGAACAAAAATCATTAATGGGAGGAATGACTTTAGTGGATATATGTTTAAAGAATATTTATGTATTTTAAGTGCTTAAAAAGTTGTGATTTTAAGAGTAAAATTTAATGTTTTATTTGTTACGATGTAGAGTAGGACGTATTTTAGATACTTTTGGAAACTTAAAAAGTTTTATGAAGCCTCTAAATAAGTCATATGGGTATGAATGCAAATTAACCCTTGCAGATGAATAAACTTTAACAAAATGTTTAGAAATTCTGTCTTTCTGTCTTTCTCATCCTCACATCCTTCTCTTCTCCATTATGTCTCTTTCCTCTCTCATTCATATTCATATCTCGATTCTTCTCTCTCTCTCTCTCTATGTATATATATATATAGAAAAGTATCTTCTCTATGTTCTATTTTTCCTTTTGTGTTCACTCTTCCTATGTCAATCTCATCATGTGCGGCATTTTTTTTTTTTACGCTATATTTGGTTGGGGAATTTAGGAAGGGATCTGGAAAGGGAAGGGGAAAAGGTAGGTGAAATGTGAATAAAATATATTTACATTTCACTTAATTTCACACACCTTTTATCTTTCCCTTTCTAAATCTCTTCCCAAATCCCCCAACCAGACACATTGTTAAGGAATCCAAAATATAGTTTCCCATTATTGTCCATCAAAAGGGGTGACAATTGGTTCAATGGTTAAGACTTAACCTAATAACCTTGAGGTTATGGGTTCAAGTCTTGGAGCCACCACTTTGTGCATTATGCCAAAGGTTAGATGTGTACTCAATATTTCCCTTCACAAACACACATTAATGTATACTAATTGGGCATTGTTTTTGTTTATTATTGTCCGTCAAAATTCTCAAGAAGTCCAAGTTACATTACATGATGATTTTTTTAAATCCAAAAAGCAACCATAACCGAAACAAAGTAAGCATAACCATTTGATTTAATGCCATATCTATGATCACGAACAAACCAGATAAATGAATAGCTCAAAGCATACATTTAGGCTATGTTTGGTTTATAGATTTGGATAGGAATTTGGAAAGAAAAAGGAAAAAAGTGTATGAAATGTAATTATATTTTATTAACATTTTACCTGTCTTTTTTCTTTCCCTTTCCAAATCCATGAACCAAACACAGCCTTAGGCGCTAACCCTTTTTCTTTTTTGGTAGGTTTAAAAAAAAAAAAAAAAGATCCTAGTTTCTTCTTCTTCCTTCTCTTATCATTGTTGACTTCTTGTTATTTGTTTTTGAAAAAAATAAAGTTAAATTAAGGAACTAATCATTCAAATTAGACCTAGCTTCACAAAACAAAACAAAAGAATCTATAATAGACTTGAATTATCTTATGCCAAACCCATATAATGAAAAGAAAATCAGAAAGTTAACCACTAAAAACCAAACTTTTTGCACCAAATCTAAATAGAAAAGTGAAGTCAGTTTCAGAACAGTTTCAGAAACTTAAAAGAACATGAAAAAATGCTAGCAAAAGGGCAATGCATTTTCAATAACAAAATCGACACGATATAACATCCACAATGTGCCGAAAGACAATTGCAATTTGCAATGCACGTAATATAATACAAGAACAACAGCACCCAGAAATCTCTTCACCCACATACATAATTTCAACCAGTAAAACTTACACCAAAAAAAATCAATAGATTAAGACCTCAGATTCACCAACATTCTCACATCATTGTGGGTATTATTATAACCATAGAATTATGAATAACATTCTATCTATCCAACAAAATTAGTCAATTTTTTAAACAGACATGAGATTATACATTTTCATATCGATTGCAAAACAAACAATCAATCAATCCATGTATATATATATATATATATGTATACCTTGAGAAAAGCAAAGGGATCGGGGCCAAAGAGCTGTCGGATTTGAGGGTACTGAGAGAGGATCTGACGCCTGCGAGAAGCATGAGGCTCGTCCGTGTATGACCAGAAGAAGTCCATCGCCATAACTCCTTCTCTCTCCTCTTCCCCTCCCATCTCTCTCTCTCTCTCTCTACAAACCGTTTTCTCTCCCTGTCTCTCGCCTTTTTTGTTTTTTCCTCTGATCTTTCGTGCTCCTCTGTTTCCTCAAAATTTAAAAACCAACAATCACTGCTAAATTAGCGCTATATCATATATATTAGTAATATTTTTTACCATGGTATATTAGCCCCCTTGGTAAAATTGTGAAATAATGATTATAGTTTATAATTTAATAGTTTATAATTTATAATTGTGAATATAAATTAATTTTTGATTTATAAATTAAACTTTTTCTCCCTCACTTAAAGAATAAATTGATTTTTTACTTACAAAAAACTATAAGCTGTATTGTTAAGCTGAACCAAACACATCAAAATAACTTAAATTAAACTAAAAGCTAAAATAAGCTGAAAATAAGTCCTACCAAACAGGACCATTATAATGATTTTTTTTTTTAAGAGAGTCACGTTAGTATATATATTTTTAATTATATAGAGTTCTATATCAATTCAAATTTAATTTAAATTATACTGATTTTACCTATTTTATAGAGACTCTATTTTGACAAATATTTATTTTTCATATATTTTTCATCTTAAATTGTGATATTCTGCAAATTCAATACCAATTTTGCGTTTCATTTTTTTTTTACCTTAATTCTTTCATGTGTATTAGATTTCTTTTTTATGCTTACCTTTTTTTTGTTTCATGTTTTTCATATATTGTTCTACGAAAATGTTTTGTAGCTCGAAAATGTTTCCCCCCGAATGGCCCGAATTTTTTAAACGATGTCGTTTCAAAAACTTTCCCAAACACTTCTCATCAGACTCCAAAACCATCTCTCGCTACTCGCTACTCACTCTCTCCTCAGAGTCGACTCCATTGGAGCCCTTAATCTCTTCCAAATCCCTCTCATCTCTCTCTACTCACTCTCTCATCGAGCCCTTAATCTCTTCCAAATCCTCTCATCTCTCTCTACTCACTCACTCCTCGAGCCCTTAATCACTTCCAAATCCTCTCATCAGCTACGGGTGTGGACTCGCATAACAGATCTTCAGCTACGGGTGTGGACTCACATACGGTGGTGTCGAGTAGCAGAAAAAAAAGGTACCACAACAAAAGGTAAACCCATAATCGCAAAAAAACTAGGGTTTGTGTTTATATGTTTGGATTTTTCTTCAAGTTGTGTTAGGGTTTTGGTTTTTGGTTGAATTTGTAGATCATGAAACAGAACCTTATCAATTAATGATTGTTTGTTAGGGTTTGGGCATTATGGGTTTTGCTTTCAATTTTTGATTGTTATGTTGATTTTGATTGGATTATGGTTAAATAATATTATTGGGGATTAGATGGTTATGCAGCTCTTTTGGTTACATTACTATTAATAAAAAAGTTGATCGGATTGTAGTAGATAATGGCCTCTTTTAAGCTCTTGAGAAGGTGTTGTTGGGGCTGATGTGTAAATAATTGTTGTTGATAAGTCCTGCACAGTGTGAGGTCTATCAATTTCCATCATGAGTTGGGAGGCCATAAGAGGGAGCTAGTGCAATATTCTGCTCAGATCTTAGTTTTTTTTTTTTTAAATGCATTTTTTGATATTTGGTAGGGAATGTATTAAACAGAATATATATAGGTTTTCTGCTCTAGAATGAACCCAATAGGCCATGCAACAATCCCCCAAACCCAATTTTGTAACTATTTTCATTCTAAAGGAAACTAAGAATCAACATTTAGTCAATAGGAGCCTTACATCCCTCTCTTTGCAACCACATCACTTCAATTTAAGCACAACTTCATTTCTTAGGCGCAGGTCAAAGCACCTTTGATATTTTAGTAAGGTGAGTTGTTTTAAAACTTTCGTGTAGATTACTTCAATCTAGGAAATAGCTGGAAATTCTAGAGGGTTGCCTTTGGAAATGTTTGTTTTAAAACTTTCTTTTCTTTGGATTGAATTCAATTCATATGGGTTTTTCTTTGGATTGGAAATGTTGATTTTGAGGTTTGGACATAGCAGTTAAGGTCTCATATTAGAGCTTGGAATTTTGGAAAACTAAATATAAATTTTGGACATAGATATGTATGTATCATGTCTGTGCTTTCCATTTTGTATGCGGATTACAAAATGGCTTGTTCCTCTAGTAACAATAGCAACATAAGATTGAAATCAAGATTGTGCGATTGTGGGAGAACAGCTGTCATTCACATTGTGCGAACCAGTCAGAATGGAAATAAAGGACGTGTGTACTTTGTGTGTCCATCGAAATATGTAAGCAGTATTGGAAATTTGTTTGGAAATTTATTAGCCTGATTTGATTAACTGATTGTCATGCATTGTAGATTAGTGAGGAACACTGCAATTACTTCAAATTCGCAGATAATAATGATGACGACGTGATCTCCAATGCTACACCTCGTAAATCTATAAGAAGTGAAGAATTTAACGATCGTAGCACAAGGTTTTATGAGGTGGATAATGAATTTCAGGAGCATGGTAGAAGGCTTCGAAAGGTGGAGATGAAATTGAATGTGATGCTTTATGTCATTGTATTTTGTATTGTTTTCTATTTTATAATGTAAATTACTGAGTTGATAGCATTTGGGGAATTTGATGGATGTAGTTATGGATTGAATGGACTTGATGGATTGTGGGTATGTGTTGTGCTTCATTCAATGTGGGTAATGAAAAACCTGTTATGTTTTCAATTATTGTTGATAGGTTGTGTCATTTGTTGGTCTATGCTTCACTTTTGGGTTTGGATCTTGATTTTGGATCTCACTTTTGGGTTTGGATCTTGTTTGATGTTATATAATCATTCGCTTGGATTTAGTGGATTCATAATGATTATTTTGCAGTTTGTTTACTCTCTTACTTAAAAGAAAAAAATGATGACATTTGGTGCTTGTTCCTACTTGATGTAATACGTGTGTGCATTGTTTGACAAGAAGGATATGGAAAGTTGGCCTTTGCTTCTTTGCCATGGAAAGTTGGCTACTTTAGCAGAGACAAATTCTTCAATGATCTTGATGGTGATTCTTGTGCTACAACCTTGCAATATTGACACCTTTACATGACATTTATCCCCATAAATCAAGTTTGAGCGATGTCATTAGGCAGCTCTTGTAAAATATTGGTTTGACTTTGTAAATCATTTTCACCTCAACTTTTTTCTTTGAATTTACAATGGTATTAAGAATATCATATGCCTACCTCATGTTTACCATTCTTTGTCTAAATGTTTCAAGGGATCTGTTTGTAAACATATTTATACTTTTATTTCTTGTTAGTTGAGTAAAAAGTAAATCAAAGAGCCATGCAAAAGGATCATGGCAATGCCACAGCAGTGCCCACTGGACGGCTTCGGCACCCTAGATGCTCAAATGAGTTTGGTAGCTTAGTTTTACCATTTAATTCTGTTGCTTAATAAACCTGTGAACACATTGCTTCTCAAACTATGTAAGCTTTATTCTGCTACTTGTAAAAACCTATGAACACATTCTGCTGCTTGTAAAAACACATTGCTTAATAAACCTGTGAACACCATCTAAAACCTTGTAAGCTTCATTCTGCTGCTTAATAATCCATTACAAACAGAACCTGAACTATAAATACCATAATATACAGAACCTGCTCAAACTGCTGCTTCATAATATACAGAACTGAACATTGCTTCTCAAACTAGTACAAGGTGCTGCTTCATAATATACAGAACTGCTGCTTCATAATATATAGAACCTGAACTGCTGCTGGAAACAGAACTTGACAGATTCATCATTTACAGAACCTGTTCAAAATCAAATATAACCTGTTCAAAATCAAATATAACCTGTTCAAAATATGCAAAACCTGTTCAAAATATCCAGAACCTATTCAAAATATACAGACCATGACAGAACCTGTTCAGAATCTGTTAAGAATGAAATATAACATGTTCAAAATATGCAGAACCTGTTCAAAATCTACAGAACTTGACAGAATCGTAGGTTTACAAACATAAGTTCACAAACCTGTTCAAAACATAAGTTTACAAACCAATGTTATAAATACCATAGAACAAAACTAAAAAAAAAAATTGGCCGATTGGATCCGCATGTATATTGAAGTCCACAAAGGTAACTATCCCAAGTTTACAAACAAAAGTGATAAATAACATAATACGAAACTAAAAAAAAAAAATGGAGCCTTTGGATCCACATCTATATTCAAGTCCACAAAAGTTGAACCATCTATATTCGCCATTCCTGATTCACTGAATGATGAGCTTCCAATTTTGTCCACCATTTGCAATGCGCTCTCTTGTGTCCCATCCATACAAGGAAAATAGTAGGATTGAGCTTGCGGCACCTTACGATACATAATAACAAAATATCATTAATAAGTCCAAACATTGAAATAAATACCATACAAAAAATAGTAGTGGACCATGAAACACATACCCGATCGTACGTATTGTCTTCCATGCCGTCCGTACAACCGAAATTCAACTTACGAGGTTCACATTGACCCATCTTACGACCCTATAGTAACACACATTGGTGAAAAAGTTTGACAAAAATAAATTTTGAAATTTACATACAAGCAGAAAATAAAAAATACACCTGGACTTTTGGTGCCTTTTTATTCTTTCCCTTCAACCGATTCACTATTTCGTCCACCTTGCTCACCTTCCATTTTGTACATGGACGGCCTCTTCGGTGAGCAACCAAAGGACTAAGCACCTTGCGAATAGCACTAGAAGGTGACACATTACTACTACAAGGTGGGACAGTACTACTAGAAGGTGGCACATTACTCGCACAACCAGATTCATATTTTCTTACACTTTCGTTGATTTCCCTCAACCCAAGTTGAATGGCTTTGTGTTTACCATCATCATTGGAAGCAATTTCTATAATTTCATCCAATGTCTTGTGGTAGTTATCATGTAACTTTGCATTGTGGGCAGCCCCGGATTTCATGTATATCGTTGGAATACATGTGTACCCTCTTTCTAAATCTTTTCTCCATCTCGGCATAATGTACTTATCTGGAACTCATAGATGCACCTCTCAATGAGCACACTAAGGGAATGGGCACATATGATCCCCTTAAACTCAAACCACCGACACACACATTGC